AGTCCTGCACTTCAGATATGACCCACCAAAGGGCCCCAAAAGCCATGACCGTTTTGAACTTCGCAAGAAAGGCTCCAAGAACGATGACAGATCTGCGCTTGGCCAACGCGAGGTTCCAAAAGCGACGCATTTCTTCACTGCGCAGTTTCGAAGCTCCAAAGGCGATGACAGTTATGCCCGTGGCCACCGCAAGGCTCCAAAAGCCACGAGGATTCGGCATTTCGCCATCAACGATTTTCTCATAATTTTTTTAAATGTCGGGTAGGTCAAAAGTCTTGTTTATGTTTTTTCTTTTGTGTTTCACCCCTCTGTAAAAAGGATTAGGGCCTGAGGTTGAGGGTTTAAGATTTGGGGTTTTAATTTTAGGTCTAGGTTGGAGGTCAGACGTCTAGACTGAAAGGTTTGGGTTCCGGGGGTAGTGCTGATTCCGTTTGTTAGCAGCGCATTTTGACGTCAATAACTTCCTCCCGTCTTAAGAGACGATTGTCAACCTTCCCCCCTCTATATTCAACTATGTTTGCTAGCAAAGCTTTTGCTGGATGAGGCGAGCCATGCCAAACAGGGTCTCAAGGTTCAGCGAGGCAGCGAGAATCGCCCTCCTCTGATGACGTCAGGAGGCGTGCGCGCCGTGGAGTAGAGATCTCGCATTCATTGCCGTGCTGATTTACGCTGGTGGGCCTGCAGCGCATTGTCCTTTGGTCCTTTACCAAGGCTGAAGCAAAAGGGTTGCTAAATTGAATACAATGCGCGCACTTATGCGTGGAACATCAGGATTTATGCTTAAGAAAGTCCTGTCCTGAAGAAACAATAGGTACAAGTCTACAAGTCAACTGTTGGTGAAGACGTGTAGTTGTATCAAATTCCAACATAGTTCCGAGAGTATTAGGCTTAAGCGTTACTTCAACGCAGGGGCGGAATGCTTAGCTGCTTAGCTTATAGAAGCAGCCGTAGTGATGGTGGTGGTGGTGGTGGTGGTGGTGGTGCAGGAAGGGTGGTACAAGGTGCTAGAGGGTAGGGGAAAGAGGTATAAGGTAGAAGGAAGAAGGTAGAAGTAGAAATAAGCTTACGTAAAGTAAAAGTAGAAGAAGGAGTGGCTGTGTCAGCAGCAGTAGAGAGGAGGAGGAGTACTAGTAGAAGAAGCAGAGCGGCAGGTGGAGTGCAAGCAGGGGGAGGATGACATTTAGGATCACGTTTGTCCTGCGCTTCGCCATCGTCACCTGTATGCTGCGCAGCTTGCCATGTGAGCTCGGAAGTTGAAATTGCTCAGCCTTGGAGGTTGAAGTGTCTGCCAAATTGCGGCATGCTTCGCGCGCTTTCAATTCGAGTATGACTGGCAAAAGAGGAAAAGCGCATAATTTTTGGAAAGCCCTCCCCATGTCTGGGAAAATGTCCCCATCTTGAAGCCACCTGCCCTTTCAGAAGCATCTTGGCCACGGCCATACCATGACAACGGGAAACACGAAACAGCTCCTGCAAACCTTGGGACTGTCAACAGCCTCTCAGATCCTGAAACCCTAATCTTGATCACACTACCCTAAAATAGGTAGGCGCAAGACACATGTGAATTCCGAGCATCTCGTTAAACGAGTCGCAGTTACAACGCCTGTACGTGATTCTCGTGCACAGCTTCATTTTAACCTGCTGGCGGCTTGACATCTAAATAACGGCTCTGTACTTCAGGTCCTGCATCAAGAATCTTGCTGGGAAACCATGAGGTCCAGATAAATAAGCCTTTATGGTAGTTTTTTCGCCCTGCCTCAGAGCCTGGGGAGCCACGGCAGCGCGGGCAGTGGCCTTGGAAGCACGAAACAAGTTGGGGGATCCACAAGACTGCTTTCGGAGATGTTGCAGACTTTGTCACACTAGTTGGCCACATATGTTGTGGTTTGGAATGTCTACAGGTTGCAGAGTGATGACCGTCAGAAGTGCAGTTCCGTGAATGTGTTCTGCCAGGGCAGGCATCCCTTGGGTTGGAGCTTTTTTTTTGTAGACTTATACAATGGAAAGTAGCACCCTGCAGGTCCAGGCAGATTTGCAGATGCAGGTTCAGTTTCACCTTATGGGTCCTTTTTAAGGGGCCTGCCATGTCCTCACAGCGTTCATGTCTTGTGTTCATCGCTCACAATCACAGTGCTTCGTCGATGGGGAGCAGATGGATGCAAGTAGAGTTCTGGCAGTTTCGCTTTCCTGGTGCTTGTGTCTCAGGCTTTCAGACAGTCTCCGTCATGGCGAGTCCTCTGTGTGCATGTGCGTGTTTGTGTTTGGGTATGTTTGGGTGGAAAGGAAGATCCCGTCGGGATGTTAAGAACACAGGTAAAACGTATCATGATGCGACAAGAACAGGCTGGCTTCAAGTTAACGTGCAAAATGTGCAGCCGTCCCAAAATCTGGAAGCTGAGCTGTCAGTACTCGCCATTAGGCACCTTAGACATCCTCAAGGGCGTTGGGACACCTCGTAAGGCGGCCGCATCACCAACTCGAGCTCGGAGCCAACTCTCCAAACAGCCACGCTGACACATGAGAATGGTGACCTCGGGACGGATGCTTTGGGGGTTTTAGCTTCTGAAGCTGCCAATCATGAGCAGGCCGAAACTTGAGGCGTGTACTATTGGGACACGCTTCTCTAAGCCTTGGCAGAATGTAGCTTTGAGCCCTTGGTAGTGCCGATGTTTTGGACACTTTCGTAGGTTCTCAAGTAGGTGTTGAGGCTGAAGTTGGGCAAGGCTAGGCTAGAATTGAATCACAATGACGGCTAAGGTCAGTCATTTAGTGTTGCCGTGACTTCCGCAAGCACCCGTCTCTAGAAGATGATGCTTTCCCGTTTCCAACGCCCAGAAGCCTACAGTAGATACACCCAGGCTCATCTAGGCTCTAACAGATCGCAATGCTGCCCAAGCCCCTGATTTTTTTCAGAAAAATTAAGTACACCCAACTTGGGATCTGACATGTTCAGAATCTAGAGCCCTAAGCACTCTCAAGAATTCGCGATGGCTAACAACCTTGACCTCAAGGTCCAAACGTGGAGTATGTTTACCTTTAAAGATGTCATTTTTTGTGGTTTTGCCACTCCAACAGCTGCCAGGTACCGAGAAGGATCCTCGTCGGCTGCGCCCGCCCATGCCCTTGCTTGTGTTGGGCTTCATGATTTCCGTTTCATTTTATCGCGGACCATTTTTGGCTTCTCGGCTTGTGCAGTTTGGGTGTTGACGCTGCAGAGGTCGGAACTCAAAGCTGTGAGCTTTTTCGAGCAGGCAAGCGAAACCCTTGCAGCAAATGCTTCCCCAATCAGCCGACTGCAAAACCTGGGCCTAAGGCGTGTAGCGCATATTTGCCCGGACATTGTTGGGTGCACATGTCTAGTAGAAGTAGTGGGCATACGTGTGATACGTGTGGCGATGCTTGTGGCATCCGAGTGTCTTCGCATGGGTGTAAGATAGCCTAGCAGGCAAACTGAACTTGTACATTCTGACCTTAGGAAGACGTCTGAATTGCAATTGGTCAGAGAATTTCTTCGACCCTGAGCATGTGTTTTTTTTTTTTTATGCAGATGGTAGGAGTTGGAAGACGCAGGTGTTGTAGGGGGTGGCAAAAGCGGTCCACCGAGTAGTGTTTCGGCATATTTTGTGCTGCAGCCACGATGTCGGCGCAGCAGTGTAAATTCAATAGCTTCATTGGCTGTGCTAGAGGCTCGGTCCATTGCGCTAATGCTGTCAGTTGCCCCTCACGACCCTTTCAAAGCAGAAATCAGAACTGACCCGCAGCTTTCTTGGGTCAGTAGTTCCACACCCTCTGAATTAGAATTACGAGCAAGCTGCAAGTTTATCCTTTCGTCAGGAGTCCCCCTCAGACCATCTTAATTCGAAGAGATCCTTGAAAGAGGAAGTGGCCACTTAACTGCAATCTGTTTGGGCTATCCCTGAGACCCTATCCACATCAAAAAAAACTTGTGAAATAAGAGGTGCCCTCCGTTACTGGTCCTTGAGAGGCTCGAACTAGAAACTGGCTGGTACATTCGAATGTCTTTCTCCAAGAGAAATAGCATACGTCAGCGACTGATCGACATCTTTGACACGCGATGAGAAGATCGGGGTCCAACAGCGACGACGATTCCGAGGATAGCAACCCCGACACGTCCCATCCCCGTGATCGTTGACAGACGAGAAAATGAGGGTCCAAAAGCGAGACGATTACGAGGATGGCCAGCCAAACACGTCCCATCCCTGTGATCGTTGGCGCTTTTGACACGCAAATGTCCAAAAGTGACCACAGTCTTAGGGATGGGCAGCCTCAGCGCCTCCAATCGGGGCTCACCACTCGCGAACGCAAGGATACTTGGTGACCTCCTTGAGCCTGGACTGCAACCTTGAAAACTGGAACCCTTCTGCAGAGTGCTAGATCCCGGATTTTGGCATCTAATGTCTGAGGCCATCGCCGTTGCACTTCTACGATTATGGATGCATCACACTGAAGTCACGCTCCCACTTCTTGCAGCATAGGCCAGGCCTCGAGCTGCAAAGGTTGAGGGGCTGGGCTTTGTGGTTGCAGGTATAAATTTCTAGGTTGGGATGGCAGTGAGGGTTGAGGGCTTGAGCTCTTTTCGAGATCTTGAGGCCTCCACGGTAGGGTTGGCTTTAATGCACAAACGTTTTGCCATCAAAATCTCTCAAATCAGGGGCTGTCTATCTTCAAACCAGTAAGGCAACTTTCGGCTGATCACGAAGCCCGGCAGCCCCAGCAAACACTGGCTGATCTTTTTGGGTGAGTACAGCAGCTTCGGTCAAACAACTGCAGAGCAAGCTCCATGTCAGGACGAAGTCACGGCCCCAGGATCTTCTTCAAGGGGAAGCTGAACCATCATGAGCGTTCCTCTGTGCGGCTTTGGAGTTCGGACATATGAAAGGATTTGAGACTGCTGCATGTGTACTGAGTTCGCGGCTGTAGGTGCAGATATTGTGGCCACTTACGCAGAGTCTCCCAGTGCTGCCTCTTGGGCGCTTCAG